TCCTGCTCGATGGCATTGATCACCTGGGACAGGTAAGGGACAGGTGAGGGACAGGTGAGGGACACAGGGAGTCCTGCTCGATGGCGTTGATCACCTGGGACAGGTAAAGGGACAGGTGAGACAGGGGAGGTGAGAGAGGGACACAGGGAGTCCTGCTCGATGGCATTGATCACCTGGGACAGGTGAGGGACAGGTGAGACAGGGGAGGAACAGGTATAGGGACATTGATCACCTGGGACAAGGGAGGGACAAGTGGGAGAGGTGGGACAGGTGAGGACACCCATCACCTGGGACAGGTGGGACAGGTGAGAGGACATCGATCACCTGGGCCAGGTGAGGGCCAGGTGAGGGCCACAGGTAATTCTGGGGGGTTTTGGGGGTTCCAGGCGGTTCTGGGGGGGCTCAGGAGGGTTTTTGGGGTCTCTGATTTTGGGGTGACTCACGTCCTGGTTGGACATGTCCCAGTAGGGCCTCTCCCCGAAGCTCAGCACCTCCCACATGAATTAGGGGACTTTTGGGTTTTGTGGGGTTTTGGGGGTTTGTGGGGTTTTAGGGGGTTCCGAGGGGCTCAGGGGGGTTTCTGGGGTCCCTGATTTTGGGGTGACTCACGTCCTGGTTGGACATGTCCCAGTAGGGCCTCTCCCGAAAGGACAGAACCTCCCCGTGGTTTGGGGGATTTTTGGGGTTTTGGGGACTTTTGGGTTTTGTGGGGTTTTGGGGCTTTGTGGGGTTCTGGGGGTTCCAGGGGGGCTCAGGGGGGGTTTTTGGGGTCCCGGATTTTGGGGGTGACTCACGTCCTGGTTGGACATGTCCCAGTAGGGCCTCTCCCCGAAGGACAGAACCTCCCACATGAATTAGGGGATTTTGGGGGTTTGTGGGATTCTGGGGTTTCCAGGCGGTTCTGGGGGGGCTCAGGGGGGTTTTTGGGGTCCCGGATTTTGGGGGTGACTCACGTCCTGGTTGGACATGTCCCAGTAGGGCCTCTCCCCGAAGCTCAGCACCTCCCACATGACGATCCCGTAGCTCCAGGCGTCGCTGGCCGAGGTGAAGGTGCGGAAGGCGATGGCCTCGGGGGCCGTCCAGCGGATCGGGATCTTCCCACCCTAAAAACGGGGGGCACGGGGGGGTCAGGGGCACCCCAAAACCCACCAGAGGGCCCCAAAACCCCCACACATCCCACAGGGACCCCAAAAATCCCCATGGGGGGCTCAGGGCCTCGGGGGCCGTCCAGCGGATCGGGATCTTCCCCCCCCCCGCAATTTGGGGGATGTCTGGGGGTCCCAGGGGGTATTTGGGGGTCCCAGGGGGGTCTCTGAGAGTCCCGGGGGGTCTCAGGGATATTTGGGGGTCCTGGGGGGTCTCAGGGGTGTCTGAGGGTCCTGGGGGGTCTCAGGGGTCTCTGGAGGTCTCAGGGGGGTTTCAGGGGGGTCTGAGGGTCCTGGAGGGTCTCAGGGGGTATTTGGGGGTCCCAGGGGTGGTCTCTGAGGGTCCTGGGGATCCCGGGGGGTCTCAGGGATATTTGGGGGTCCTGGGGGTGTATTTGGGGTGGGGTCTCTCCCCATGGAGCTGGTGTAGGTGGGGTCTCAGGGGTATATGGGGGGTATTGGGGGGTATTTGGGGTGGGGGTCTCTCACCATGGAGCTGGTGTAGGTGGGGTCACTGGCCCCGTCCCCCTGGAGGGCTCGGGAGAGGCCGAAGTCGGACACTTTGCAGACCAGGTGAGCGTCCACCAGGATGTTCCGAGCGGCCAAATCCCGGTGCACGAACCCGGCCTCGGCCAGGTACGACATCCCCGAGGCGATCCCACGCAGCATCGACACCAACTGCAGCGGGGACAGCGTCCCCTCACGGCCCTGGGGGTCACAGAGTCACCATGGGGTCAGTATTGGGGTCATTGGGGTCATTGGGGTCAGTATTGGGGTCATTGGGGTCATTGGGGTCAGTATTGGGGTCATTGGGGACATCCCGGCCTCGGCCAGGTACGACATCCCCGAGGTGATCTCGCGGAGCGTGGACACCAACTGGAGGGGGGAAAGGGTCCCCTCACGGCCCTGGGGACAGCAGGGTCAGTATTGGGGTCATTGGGGTCATTGGGGACACCATGGGGTCATTGGGGACACCATGGGGTCACTGGGGTCATGGAGACCAGCTGGAGCGGGGACAGGGTCCCCTCACGGCCCTGAGGACAGTACTGGGGTCATTGGGGTCATTGGGGTCATTGGGGTCACCACATGGTCATGGAGACCAGCTGGAGAGGGGACAGGGACCCCTCCCGGCCCTGGGGG